ATGCAGAGAGGAGGAGAGATACAGAGGAAGATCCTCCATCCAATGATTCACTCCCCAAGCAGCTGCAATGGCCAGGGCTGAGCCAACCCAAAGCCACGAGCTTTTTCCAGGTCTCCCACGCGGGCTCAAGATCCCAAGACTTTGGGTCGTCCTTGACTGCTTTCCCAGTCCTAAGCAGGGAGCTGGATGGGAAGCAGGACTGCCAGGACTAGAACTGGTGCCCATAAGGTTTCCCGGGTGTGCAAAGCGAGAACTTTAGCTGCTAGGCTATTGTGCCGTCCCTAGGCCAAAGAGTTTTAGAACCCAGGGGTCTTAGATCTCTCAGTTACTGGGTCACTTTGGATAGTTAATCTCTGAACTTTCATTCCATCATCTGGAAAATAGGAAGATCATAGTGATTCCTTCAGAATTTCCCTGAAGGTTAAATGAGATGTGGCCAGAAAGGAACCGAAAACAAGGCTTGGAGCATGGCAGGTATAAGAAGAGATTAGCTGGGGGAGAGGCAGAGTAGCTGTGGAGCAAACAGGTTCTTGTCTCTGACGTGTCCTGGCTACATGGTCTTGTGCAAGGGAACACAGTCTCGTTGGCTTCATCTGAAAACGCCAATAGTGTTAATGCGTGTCCTGAGGGTTTGCAAAGAAGATTCAACAAAATAATGTGTGCAAAGTGTTCAGAGCGGTACCTGGCACCTGGCAACTGCTCTATCACTGTGCATTATTGCTGTTATTGGATCATTCTTATTTCCTCTTCCTTTCTTGGCATCTGTGGGCTTTTCGACTCCTATCTTGGCAGACAGCCTGGACTGAAGGCTGAAGTGAGGAACTCTTTGAACAGGGCTGGCTGGGGGGTCTCTGTGGGCTCAGAGCTCTGAGCTGGCTCCTCCCTGTGCCTCCTTAGGCACAGCCTCCAGCTCCTGGCCCTGTCTCTTCAGAATGGGCCCAGGGGCATGGGGAAGCCCCATTTCTGTGCTGGCTTTGTGGTCAGGCAGCCGGAATCTGTCCCTTGAGCCACACCACAGTCTCATTAAAATCTGCCCCATAAATGTTAAAAAATTTACACATAAAAAATTCCATGCATGAAACTGAAACCCTCTGTTTTACAGCTTTGGTTTGAAATCTTGCATAATATATAAAAACCTGGCCCAGCACTGGGGGCCTGTAAATGAGTTTTTATAAAACAAAAAGCTTTTACCTTTCAAAGGGGTTTGGGGAACTTGCAAATTTTACAAACTTAACCAATTGCTAGTCAGAGGCTGCTGGACTTAAGGAGGGGTTCTGGGGGGCCAGGGAAGAAATGGCCTGTTGAGCACCAGGTAGGTGTGGGAACTGAAACTTCCCAGGGGGCACTACAGCTTAGCCATCATGAGGGTGGAAAGCTGCTGGGGAGGTAGAGAGCATCAGAGGGGTAGGCGCCAGAAGAGATATTGCTGGCACACTCTTTTAAGGGAATACATAACAAGAAGCAGCCACACAAACACCCAGAGGGAGAGAAAGAGCTCCCACTCAATGGTTCACACCCCAGACACCCACAATGACTGGGCTGGGCCTGGCAGAAGCCAGGAGCTTGCAGCTCAATCTAAGTCTCCCACGTGGATGGCAGGGACCTAATTAACTGCCTCCCAGAATGTGTATTAGCAGGCAGCTAGAAGTGGGAGCCATACCAGGACTCAAACTCCAATAGTCTGATGTGGGGTGCAGGCAAATTCACCGCTAGTCACATCTTATTTGTAAGCAGGGAGAGGAGAAGTACATTGGAGGGAATACGGAGGCAGTGGGGTCTGCGACCCTGACTGGTCATTTTACTGCTCCAGAAAACTGGAGACGGGGTGGGGAGTTAGACTTGTGTCTTGTATAGGGCTGTGTTTCCCCCTAACCTTCTGTGACTGGTTCTCTCCCAGCAGGGGGTGCTGTGGGAGCCACAGACTGGAGGGAGGGAAACTCCAGCAGAATGGACCATCTGGGAGCCTGTCTCCTGTCTCAGCTGTCCCCAGCTCTGGAAAAGCTACTCCGAGAGGCTTCAGGATGCACAGACAGTTGCTCACTGGCCTACTGCTTCCTGCCTGGATCCAGATTCCTTCCTTGAGCTTGGCAGCCAAATACGCTTGCGGGAGAGGAGGGAGACCCAGGGGGAGGAGGAGGAAGAGGAAGAGGATGGCATCCAAATGGGAGTGGGGGAGGGGAGTTGCAGCAGAGAGGGCCCTTCCTAGAGGGAAAGTTTTGGGGGAACCACACACCCTCGTGCCAAACCCATCTATGAAAGTCAATATTCAAGGGCAAAGCAAAGCTGCCCTGACACACACACATATATATAAAATAAATCTCTCAATTATCTCAGCTCATTTGCTTGGGGTCTCTCATTTTATGTCCCTGCTCGGCTGCGCAGTATATCTGTCCGGATAAAGAGTTACAGTCCGTTGGGCTACGTGTGCGGGGTTGTAAAAAATACAGATGCCAAATTAACTGGCTGTGGCACTCGGCAGCTGATTGAGCTGATAATGACGCGATCTGACCTTTTTCTAATTTCTAATTATGTGCGTCTCGGCTGGGCTGACTGCATGATTCTGGTTCTAATGATGGCTCCTGTGGCCTCTCTTCCTTTCCTCTCCCAACACAGGACCAGCAGCAGGGTAACAAAGGGCACTGCTTGAGTCCCCAGGTAAAGTTTCAGGGCCACACCGTCTCTTGGTGTTGAATTTGCTACAACATTGTTGTAGCAATACGGTATTCAAGATTAATCTTCTGGGGATCAGATGTTCTTAAAGGCCAGTCCCAGGAGCCACCTCATTAAATTTTAATTAAGAGCACAGGAGATAAGTGTAGTAGGTGTACAGATGAGGAAACCGAGATCTAAAGGAGAGAAGTCATCAAAGTCACACAGATGGCGAACAATGAAGCCAGGGCTCAGAGCTTTCATCTCAACATCTCTTTCACATTTTTCCACTGACACAATCAGTAAATGACAAATCTTTGACTGTGGCTACCTCATCTAGGAGCAACAGATTCACATAGGTAGGTGGAAGTTCAAGGATTGCTCCACCATCTGGGATGTTCCAGGCCCAGACACCTGAGATGGAAGACCAGGGAATATGAAGTATTATGTCCTTAGGATAGGCCTGGCACATAGCAGGTCTCAATCAAGTGCTGCTAGAAGGAGTCACGCAGTCTGATTCTTTGAGTGAGCTGAAGCTGGAGGACTTGGCCCTGGTGACAATCAGGGGAGCCTGGAGCTGGCGTCTTTCAGGGTGTTTTTCAGGCTGTGTTGCAATGGAAGGCTGCTGCTAGAGGGTCTTCCATACCTTCCCTGGCAGGTGTGTGTGAAGGGGCAAGGCTGTGAGATTTGTCTCCCCAGGACCCCTGGCACTAGAGAATGCTAGGATTGTTTCATATTACTCAGGCTGCTGCTAAGTATCTCCCTACCAACCTAAAACTTGCTTTGTGTGTATGCCAAGGGAGGGGAGTGGTCCCTGGCCCTTCAGGTCCATTCTAGCACACAGACATGGCTGCTTCACCTTCTGTCCCCGCAGCTGCTTGGGTCCTGGTTTCAAGGATCTACTTCCTACTGTAGTCCTGTGGCTGTGGTCAGCCAAAGGGCAAGGCAGGCTCTGCCCAACCTGTACCTAGTCTAGCTCCTGGAGGGCCTGTCCAGAGGAAGCTTTCCCTGAGGAGGTCTCAGATATGGTAGCCCTGCCTGCTGGGGGTAGGTTTGTTCAAGCCGAGCCAGGGAAGAGGAGCTCCATCGGGTCAGGGCTTATCCTTTGGCTGAGCCATCCTCTGCTCTTTAAATGCTGGCTTCGTCACAATGCTTTACAAATTTCTGGGCCAGGCTGGGCTCCCCAGGTAGCTTTTCCAGATCCCCTCAAGAACCGCATTCAACTTTTTTGAGGAGTAGTGGTGTGAATGATTCACAGCATGGAACAACACTGACACTGTTCTGCAGATGCAGTGTGTGTGTGTCCCTGTGTGTGTGTGTGTGTGTGTGTGTGTGTGTGTGTCCCATTTTGGAACCAGGTACCAGCTACACCTTGGGTACAAGAGGTCAACACTATAATCAATCAACTTTTGGAGGAGAGTTTTGAAGTTTCCAAATTCATTGTGCAGACTCGGGCAACACACACACACACAAATCAAGACTCATGGTTAATAATTCCAGGATATCTGTTTAAAACGATGAACCAACACAACAGTCACTCTCTCAAAAGAATTACCGGCACTAGATGAGAATTTTAGTTGTCACCCAACTCAGCAGTTATCAGACCTAACTGGTGATGGCAATTGCCTGGGAAACTTTTTAAAAGATAGACTCACGAGCCACCACCTAACTGATCAAGTGATAATTTCCAGGAGACCTTGTCTAAGAATGTGTGTTTTAAAAAGCCAGAGTGATGGGAAGGGCAGAAGGGGAGATCTTTGAGCTTATAGAAATGTATCATGAAAAATGCATACATAAATACATACATACATACATGCATGCATAAAGCTGGAGTGACTGTCTGGATGACAAATTGGATTGTATCCTCCTAAAAGGGCAGGGCTTCCCAACATGATTGCATGTCCAGGTCTTTCTGTTGATGTGTATGAACACGCTGCTTCCCTCACCCTTCACATAAGAACACCCATCCTTTATCTTCTCTCCTCCAGCACAAGCCAGGTTTGCTAGCATGCCAGGATTCCACATTTCAGCATGACTACTTCTGCCGTACAGAATACTCTGACTTCCCTTTCCTTCTGCCTGTACTGCAGAGGAGTGAGTAGAAAGAAGCTGGCACCACCAGGGGCAGATTGCAGGTGAGCTTGGGCAACAATATCTGTACAGGAAACTCTTGTTAGAGAATTTTGAGATGCTTCTCAGGGACTAGAATGTTAAAACTAGTGCAGGCCCATAGTGAGCACTCAAAGCTCCAAGCTGAATGAATTTGCAAAGGGATACTTTTTAAGGTGTTGGGCGGGTGGGACAAGAGGGTAGGAAGATGCTAAGCCAGGGAAAGGGTGCAGGGTCTTTACCAGATTGTCCAGTTCTGGGTCATCGCTGAAGAAGGGTTTGTGTTCCTGTTCCTGCTGGTGGACAAAGTTCTCGATGTCCACGTCAAAGCTGGCAGAGGTGATGCACTCAGAGCCCTGCGTGGCCTGTTCACATTTTTCAAACAGCAGCGTCAGGAGCGGGAAAAGAGGGTGCCTGTGGGGACATCAAGAGCTCACACATGTGCACACGCAGAGACCAAGCTGTTGGCCAGGCTCAGTAGTCACCAGGCCTGCTTCCCCGCATCCCCATCACTTCTTCCAAGGTCCCACTCCATGACTCTGGTCCCCAGGATCAGCCTAGGTGGCAGCATCTTGTCTCCTAGCATGGAGTGAACCAATCTTCCAGTTTCTGTAGCCTCTTCAGAGGGCCAGGTAAGAGAAGGCTGCAAGAGCTTTGCAGAGGGACAAAGGATTTGAACCCTTTGAAGAAGCAAGTATCCACTTTTGAGCCAGAGTCAACTGAGGAAGTGTAGGAACTGTCCAGTGGAGTCCTTGACAGGGACATCCATGGAGATGCACTCCTGACTGCCCAGAGGCAGCTGAGGGCAGCAGGTGTGCACCAAGTCTTATGAGTGTGCACAAGCACAAACAGGAGGATATGTGTGAGCCCAGACCACATCCATACATGGTGGGCAAATGTCTCCACTTGTCCTGTTGACAGACTTCGTTTAGATCAGACACCCCAGCTGTGTTTGTCATATCTCCCTAGACCCTCCTATCATCACACCTTAAACACAGCTGTCATTAGTTGATCATTTTCATCATTATTCACCCCTTGTTTTCTTCCAACATTCCCTGTCTAAACAAATTGTATCTCTGGGATCTTGCTGTACTTGCTCATGATGGGTAATTAGTAGATATTTGGTGAGTGGCTGAACTGGTGAATGGAGAGTATATAGATGTGTGTGTATTTTCATGGTAGACATACTTGAGTTGAAGTGCTCACCTAAATGGCTCCCTGAGTCTCAGCGTGGATATATCAAGTCCAGCTTCCCCAACTGCTCCCCTAAATCTCTGCTGATAGTTCTCAAGTGATTTATTCTATCATCTATTTTCCCTTCCTGTGAGATTATGATCTATGTGAGGGCAGGAATCAAGCTCAGTTTAATCATGTCCATATGTTCAGAGTCTAGCAAAGGTATGTGGATCTTTGCATGCTTATTGCATGTACTCGTGCACAGTACAGCCATTTCTGTAGCATGTGGGCATGTATGTGTGTAGATTATTAACACTGGATGCTGGAGAGTCCTGTCCTTTTCTGCTGAAGAATCTAAAAAAAAAAGAAAGAAAGAAAGAAACATCTGCATCTCCCTCTTTAGGCTGTCTCCTTAGACTCTTGGGACCATGAAATCCAGTTGATTTCTTTCTGATTAAAGTCCATTTGTTGGGAGACAAGGAGAAATGTGTGTTCAGCCTGGCTCTAAGCTTCCATAAAAAGGCATGTTCTAACTGGCACTGTCCAGTAGAACTTATTGGCAATGGTGAAAATGCTCTATAATCTCCACTGCCCAGTATGGTAGCCACCAGGAGGCCAATGAAATGGGGGCTGTTGTAGCTAGAACACTGAATGTTTATTTCTATTGATTTTAATGAAAGTAAATCTACATAGTCACATATGGCTGGTGGCCGCAATATTGGAGGACACAGTTAAGCCTTGGAAAGGAGGAAAGACCATGTTTTCTCTTCTAGCACTCTATGCATGGACACAACAAGAGGACAGAGCATCCAGCCCATGAGGCATTTGTAAGTGAGTAGAGGAGATCCTAGGAGTCTGTCCCATTCAGGAATTTTAGCAATTCTGGGCAGGAAAACAGAAAATGCCTGCTGCCATCTGCACATCACACCTGTCTTTCTTCCCAGGCTCAGAGGAGGGGGCGGTGGATAAAAGGAGATAAGTTCAGGCTGAAGACAAGTTTCTGGGCTGGGTAGAGGCTGCCTCTGGACACTCTGACTTTCATTTCAGGAACTGGTATAAAAGTGCTGGCCCCAGGGCAGCAGACTGGATGTCAGCGTAGAGCAGAGAGGATCCATTTTTAAGCATGGCTCATCTCCATCTCCAAATTTCCAGAGGAGCCCCAACAGGCAGCTGGTAGGGAAAGCAGTGGGTGAGTCATCTGGATGGAGACAAAGAGAAACCCAGGTGAAGGGGTTAAACTCCAGTGTAAGTCTTCATTTGCAGCCACTAATGCTGCAGCATATTATAGTCTAATCTAACCTGATCCCAGTTTAATGCAAGATTCTGCTGGCCCTGAGTGGAATACCAAAGAAAGCCTCAGTGGCTGTAATTTAAGCAGAGCCCTGCAGTGGTTTAACTGAGGGACACGAAAGGCAAATTCCAGACGGTGTTATGAATTATTGCGCCTTATGAACCTTCCCACTCTCAACAGATGCCTGCTGCCATTTAAACAGCCACTAGATCAATTAGGAATGAAAGGCACAAATCGACTCTGTACAAGGGCACTAAATTACCAGGAACTAATAATCCACAGCATTGTGCCAGGTGGCGGGGGTGCAGCCCCCGCCCAACCCCGCGGCAGCCGTGCGGTCACTGCACATTCCTGTAGCACCGGTTGGAGAGAGGGTGGGCAGCTGCTGTACAGAGGGGATGGTGTGTGTGCACGTGTGTGTGTGTGCGCACGCGCCTGTGTTCTGGGGTTGAATGAGAGCAGGGTGTGAGTGTTTGGGTGCTGTCCTGTTTGCACGCACAAGTTGTGCATGTACAGTATGCATGCAGATGTGGATTTTGTATGTGCCATTGATGTGCAGCTTCTGTATGCTGTGATACGCTGCATGTGCTCTGCCATGTCTGTGTGGGATATGGCTGTGCAGTTCTGTGTTCTGTGTACATCATGTGAGTGGGAGGCCCCCCAGCTACTAGCACAGGGGACGGAAAGGGAGGACCTTCTCCTTTGTTTCTAGCCTTACCCCTGCAGGGAGGAGCAGCTCTTCTTGGAGTGGTCAGGGCAGGCCTCTCTGAGGAGGTGACATTTAAGCTAAGCTTCGAATGATGAAAAGGCAGCCATGTAAGGAGCTAAGAAGAGGCATTTCGAGCAAGAGGAAAAAGCACAGCACTTGAAATAAGAATAAGTGTGGCATTCTTCCTGGAGAAAACCTAGCAGACAGTGGCTAGAGCAAGGGAGGCAGGAGGGGAGTGGAAGAAGGTAAGGTTGAAAAGGCACGAGGAGTCAGCTCACGGAGTGGCAGGCATTGCCACACTGCTGGGGATGGCGTGTGCCTTCCATTCAGAGCCATGGCTCATATCCAGGCATCCAATCTCCCCAGAGCGTATGCGTGTGCATGTGGGGTATTTGCTCTACTTTGAAGTGTCTCAGGAAGGGGTTAACTAAGGTTAAGGGTGCTGGACTGAGCACCTCTCTCCAACTCTGCACTTCCCCAATGGGGGGGCTACAGCCAGTGCTGTCAGCTCCCAAGTCCTCCCTCCTCAAACTCCATCCTCCCAGATTCCTGAACTGGGCTCCTCCCACTGGATCCTGGGAGTCCCTTCTACCACACTAAGCTCAGTTAGAGCTATTTCTAGAAACTATCCCAGGGGGAATGTGGCTACGAGTGCTCTCACACTGTGTCTACTTCCTCACCACACAAACCCCCACCACTTTCTGCTTTCTGCCTCCTCCAGGCTCAGTTCCCCAATGAGCCCTATTTGGTGCTGAGGCTGCCCTCTCTGGGCTCCTCTAAGGTTGTCCCCAACAGCCTTATGGGAGAGTCACCTGATCTTGTACATTTGACCAACTTGTGCCAATCTAAGGATTGATCCTTACTTCTCAATATAACCTTCAATATTACCTCAGAGCAGGAAATAAAGTTGTCAACCCTCCTTCAAAGACCCCTTCTAGCAGCTTCACCTGTAGGCTTCAGATCCACCTGATACAGGAATGGCCTTGTTTTACTGAGCCAGGGATTGGGTGGAAGAAGGATGCTGGATGTGGAATCTTGGCCTTGCCTGAGCCTCTGCTTGTTCAACTAGAAGCTGGTTGTGCAATATAGACTTCTTGCCCTTGTCCACATCTCCGCCACCATGGACCAGCATCCCTCAGCAGCGAGGAGTAAGAATGCGGACTTCAGGCCCTGGCGCCCGGAGATGATGAACAAGATGTGAGAGATGGCCATTAGATTTTATTTCCAAAGAGCTGAGGACATTTGACCTCCGTAAGAGCTCACCTTCTCCCTCCCGGATCCCCGCCTGCTCTTCTGCCCGCGAGTCACCTCCTGTGCGACCGCCCCCTCCACCCCAATCTCTCTTAAGCCGTTCAAAATTTGGAGGAAATAAATCTCACCGCACTAATTCAGTGAGAGTTTGAGCCTCGTCAGTGCAGAACAAATAAAAGGAGTGAACTGGCATGACATTTTACTGCAGGAGAGAGGTCGTTTCCAGCCACTAATAAAAAGGATTTGACACAGACTAATAAAGAGAAATGAATTTCTCTAATGGCCTAATTTAGCACATTCAGCACTGTGCCCCCGCCTGGGTGCTGGGAGGTTGGGAGCCTTGGAGGGGAGCGGACAGAGCAGGAGGGAGGAAGCCACCCGGCTCAGCTCTGAGACAGCTCTGAGAAAGAGGGAAGAGAGCTCAAATAACATTATATTATATCTTTTTTCTTTCCTGAGCCCCCTCCCCTGACCCCACCCTCATCACCTCTCCCCAGAAGCATACAAAGTCAAATCAAGCTCAAGATATGCAGTTCCTGTTAACGATCCAAAGAAATAAAGAACCCCTCTCCATAGAATTGCAGCCTTGTGCTAGCTTAAGAAGGTGATTAAACCGGATGTGTTGATTTCTACAGGGGTTTAAGCCATCCTTTGGTTTAATTACTTCTGACATTTCTGCCTTCGTGTTTTTTACATCACCCAAATTCACAGGCCTGGAATGTCCACTCTGAGGCCAGGGTGTATGTGGCTGCTGGCGTAACCAGAATAGATCAGGGGTATGATGGATGCTGCCTGAAGCCCTTGGCAGGGTGATCAGAGACCCCTTGGATCAAGAGCAAGAGTGAGAGCAAACACTTTATCAGTGTACAGGGAAGTGATTCCCACCTCTGCAGAGCAGTCAGCAAAGCCCATTGGCATCCTTGCCGGCTCTGGACCGGTGGCCTGAACCTGAAGCAGGCTGTGGATTTCTCACACCTTCTCCCAAAC